TTCACTTCTGTTACCCTCAAATGTGCAGTTTGATCTTGTGTTTTAAATTTTCTTCAGCTACATTATTCATACATGCTTTTCTGCGCTTGATTTTTCTAGTTGTGCAATTGTTAAAAAGGTCGAGTTGTTCTTCACTCGCAGCATTAAAATGAGAAATTTCTTTTTCATCTGACATGTATCCTACACAGTGTCTGTTTTCCTCCATGTCAAGTTTGTTTAAACAGCATTTCCATCAGTGCCACTTCCCAATACTGTCAACACTGTAAAACATTCATTCTGGGCTCACACAAGATGCAGCAACAACAAATTATCACTATAGTTAATAGTCTTGAATTGTTATACTCAATGTTTAATCGTCCTTTGGGTTCACAGAACGTATCAAATTCTTCCCCATTGAAGTTTATGGGAAAATTGAATTTGGTTAACAACATTTTCAGTCAACAAACTTTTGCCTAAAACCAATTAAATTCGTTAACCAAGGGTACACTGTACAGTACTTGGTTTTCCATCGAAGTCTAAAGGAAAATCAAATCTCTTTGGTCAATACACTTTCGTCTGGAAGCAATCAAGTTCATTCGGCATCTGCCCTGCAAAAGAAGAGGAAGGTACATAGGTTCGAGGGGAAAAGCGTAGTCAAGTTACCTATGCCCCAGGGGCGCCTTGATGTAGCGACGCTCGATCGCCGCCTCGAGGATGAGCAGACGTTCACGCGCCGTGTCCACCGGGTTCACCCTCTCGTCCTTGCCCCCGTCCTCGCCCACACGCACATCACAGGATGCTCGGAACGTCAAACTGTCCTGGTTGCTCACCCGTGGAGGCGGGCGCCAACCCTGCAATCAACACGGGGGAAGCAAGAAACGAGCCGATTAGAAAATTATACTGTACAGCAGTACTAGAGTAAAATCTCGTCACAAACAATTTTCCAGAGCAGCAAATTTGTTCCCGAGAGAGTCCTGGCAGAAAAACTAAAGAGAACATGTTGAAGCAATCTTGTTACAACAAACTTTCCTACTCCGTTATAACCAACTTTTTCTAAGGATCATTTTGTGATTTTCCTAAAACTTTAAATGAAAAATCCACAAGGAAGAAGACAGGCACGGCACATTCTCAAATTTCTCATTCCAAAAGTGACTGTGACTCGTTCTTCGGACATAAATTGAAGGTAGAATCAAATATTCTTAAAAATTCATTTGAACATTCTGTCTTTTGAAGATTTTTCCTCGGTTAGGAAGTGCCTGAACTCTTCTCTTACATTGTTCAAACAATTAACGGTTGTCTCCAAGTTCAGCATCACAACAAATCATTACATAAGCAATTTAAGGCGCAGAATATCATCCTTCACAATTTCCTGCAAATCTTCCGTGTTTCCCACACCAAAAAAATTCTTGTTTCTCCAACTCCGAATTTTCTTTTTGCTGGTCCCGTCAAATTTCGCCTCAAAAGAAATTATTTTCTCCTTTCAATAAGCCGGACTATGTTTCAAGAACGGTTGTGTGCAGGGATGGGGAACGCTGACAAGCGGCGGATAAACTCGAATACCAATCAATCAATCAATTGTCACTCGCCTTGATTTGCATGGACGCACTGGCCACCTTCTCCTCCAACTCCTCCACCTGCTCCAGCGTCGACAAGTCCAATCGCATGGCCACGTCAGCCGAGTAAGCACCGTGCTCGTCCGGCTTCGGCACGCCGAACAACCGAGGGATCTTCAACAGCGGCAACGGCCTTTCGACGTCCATCGACTCGCCGTCTTCACCAGCCAGTCGAGTCGAGATCGGCGGCGGCGGGTACACCAACTTCGTTTCTCGCTCCATCACCTTGGAAAAAGGGAACAACAACAACAATTATTCAACAACCATCCCCAAAGACTTTCTTATCTGCATGCAGCCATTTAGTGAATTACCCCGTGAAATTAAACCGTATTCACTCGAGTACAACGCGCCCTCCAATAAGACTCGCAAATCGATTTTAAGGCGCAAAATTTACGTAGCCCCACCCCCAATTTTTTTTTTATCCCAAGTGATGATCGGATTTTTTTTTTAGTTAAAAAGTCGAATTTCAAGGGACCAGCAAAAGAATTCGAGTTAGGGAAACAAGCGTTTTTGTTGCGGTGAAGAGAGAATAATTGAAAAAAAAAATTCCATGGTAATATTCTAGGCCTTAAATTACTTTTCAAATTAGTTGACAGGATGCTAAACTTGAGGGCAAGGGTTCAAGGATCATTCACATTCAAGCGCACAGTTGAACTTACACTTTTTTCGCTTCAAAACACATCAAGTTATATTTTTTTATTGCTTTTCTCCTTCCTTTTTGAAGAAATAGTTTAGGGAGGTTTGAAAGGAAAGGCTTCCGAGTTGAGGAGGTCGACGGGGACTCAAAACAAATTCGACGTAAGGAGTTCAATACAGTACAGTAATTTATATTTTACTACAGTACAACATTCTCATGATCAAATGAAAGAACACAAGAGAACTGGAACAAGATAGGTGCCAAACAAAATTTCGAATACATTTTCTCACCTAAGACTAACTTACGAATTACACCATTAAAGTTTCGTGATTTTTATTCCCGCATTACACGCGCACCCCACTTTTCTATTTTCTAGAAAGAAAAAGAAAGGTCACCATGACTTTCGGATAAAGACGGTAAATGCTCAGGGTAAATGATGAATAAACGATTACGGATGCGAAGCAGAAAACCCAACAACATAAAAAAAATACTCAAGTGCTTAATTACACACTGGATTAGAAAATCCGGGTTAGCAAACATTTCGGTTTCAAGAAGGCGAACACGTGACAAAAGCAATCAAGTGTTGCTGACTCAAAAGCGAGTTATGAAAGACATCTGATCGCATGAATCAATCGCGAAGGCGTACTCACGAGAGTGTCGACTTCGGACCGCTGCCGATTTTTAACCGGACCATCATCCCATCAGCACAGAATAGTTAAAGAAAAAATTACAGATTTTAAAACGGTCTTTTCATCGCTCAAAAAAAAAAAAACAACGAAGCACGTTTTCGAATGAACGATGCAAGTTCGGGAAGAGCAGAAAACCGTGCGAAACCCTTCTCCCACAACATGCCATTCTGAATTTTTTTTTTCCATCACGAGAACGTGAAGAAACAAAACACATACCCGATCACACGCCCGCATGATTTGATCTTCGTATTTCTCCATGAAACGCTTCAGCTCTCTTTCGCGGATTCCTCGGTGGTGAAGTTTCTTGGAAATTTCTCTGATCAATTCCTTGTCGACAACTCGCCACCAGCCACGCTTGAATTCTGCGGAAGCAACGTTTTCGCGATTAGAAATAATTTGTACAGCGGAGACTGCGACGATCAGATACCACGAAATACGAACAAGTCCACTCGGGAACACTTGAAAAATAAAATTTCAATGACATCTAGACAATGTCTCGAGATATGGACACTGTACGCACTCCTAGACAAATGGAATATTTTTACTTTCCAAAACACACCTAGAATCTCTTTACTTCATCTTATCTACAACTATTTTCTCTGCATGCCGATTTCTCTATATTCGGACAAATTTCTGAGTAGAACAAACTTTTTTCCAAGTCCCGACGGATCCTACAGGGTGAATGTTATAACATCTCAAAAAAACAAACACTTCTATCCGAGTGTGACAAAATTTTCCGCGGAACATTGATTTTCCTAATGAAAAATCTCTGTAATGAAGGCTTCAGGCACAGTCTCGAAATTACCATTCAAAATGTGACTGGTTATTGGGACATGTATGGAATGTGGAACCAAGGACAACATTTCCTCAAAATCCAACGGAACATCCTTTCTTTGAAAAAGTGTTCCTTGAAAGATGGGGAAGAGGGGGGGGGGGGGGTTATACAGTGGATTACAAAATTAACCCAGCAAAACTGACGTTACAAGGGGTTTTGCATGCTTTAGAAACCCTACTGATGCTTAAAAGCTGTAAGCTTTTTTGGAACACCCACCCTTTGAAATGTGTGCAGGAATTGCTCAGAAAAACTTGGAAGTACACAAAAATGGATGAAGTTTACCTGTTATTCTGGGTGGATGTATGTTATCAACATCAAACACTGGAAAACAGATAAAAAAAGGCCACAATTGGAATATGTTGAATATATGCAGGTTTAATTGAAAAAATTTTCCATCAGTCAATAATTTTTAAACTCTCATTACAACCAAATTCGTGATAACAAACTTTTCTGAAGTACCCACAAGTTTCTCGCAACAAGATCTTACCGTAATCGATTTTTGGGGAGAATTTATTGCTTACTTTCGATGAAGAGAAGACACACTTTCTTGGGGCCCTACCAAAAGAGACACGGTTATCTAAAAAATAATAAGGGTACCTTTCGGAACCGGTTTCGCTTCAGGATTGTGTTTCAGACGCTTCAAGAAGGCTTGGATCTTCTGATCGTTGGCGGCCAAGGCCGTGAGACGATTCATATTGTTGTTGCTGTTGCTCGCGTCT